CGTGTTACCCCTATATCCGATAGAAAATTGACGAGTTTCGATGAAAAATTTCTGCTTAAAAGTTGGTGTGTGTTGGATTTTGCCTATCCTGTATACAAGTCCGTCACTTCTAACAATTAACGGTGGCTCTTTGATTGCCTTGAACGCAAAACCGGGATTAAACTAGTAAGATTTCATGGATTTTATGTAGGTACTGCTACTGACTAGATACCAGACTCCCATGAGCCGTTATGGAACAACAAACCTGGAATCATGCATCAAGTCAAAATCGACCTAGGGGGTTCTATCCTTGTGGTTGCAACATGCCGACACATAATCTATTGCAGTACCCACCCAGTTTGGCATCGTTTGGTGCACAAGCGATTTCTCGAGCCCCTGATTGTGGAACCGCTTTCCACCACTCATACAGTGCTATAGAAGAATATACAGCCTCTTCGAGGCATCCCATGGCATGAGGTATTTGCGGCTGGCCATTGGATACGTCCCTAGTACATTACCCCAACACGGTATCTTCACCGCCCTATACCAGTTCACCAACTTCCTGGTCATCCCAACCAACTTCCCATCAGTATCCAAATCTTCAGACTAGCCATCCTGCTGTTGGCACATATATTCAAGTTACCCAACTATCCGCTTCCTGGAGCCCACAATCCTTGGTTCTACCCCAACAAATTGCTGCAAACTGCGAGCAATCCCTCCTTGAGTTTCCATATATCCCCCTAGATCAACCAGAAGTCTCTAAGTACTTATTTATGAGCGGCTCCAAAACATACCAATGCCTACAGCAATGTAAAGGTAGTGGCGAACTATGTTCGCGCGCATTTACAAGAAGATCAGACCTTCGCCGACACAAACAAAGTGTCCATCGTTTAGACGTCACGAACGTTTATTGTTGCCCATATCAGAAATGCGAAAAAACTATGGTAAGGAAAGACTCTCTTCTTCGGCACTGCTTGACACATCAGACAAATGGAGAGGGCCGCAACAAGATAATGAGTCTTGCTAAACCGAAAGAAAAAAAATTCCAGCAACAAAGAGGACAAAATTGTGACTTGGTTCAAGAATGAGACTGAGCACGACAGAGACAGGCTTTAGAGCGGTTTTGTTTGCTTAGTACTACACGGAATCGTATAGGCAGAGCCCGTTTACGCGTCTTTTTTGAGTCTTTTATATTTTGTAGAGTTTGGGAGAGAGTAGCTGTGTAATGTACTGAGGCTGACTTTTGTATTATATCACATCTTTTATCTCGCTATTAATTGATTGCCGTCGTGCGTATACTAATTCTGCCTTAAACTTGTCTCTCTTACACTAATCGCGACTAGGAATTACATCTTCGTAACCTTTCAGCTTGTCTTAAACCCATACGGACAAGAAATAGCTTCTGGGGTTTAAAAAATCTAGTACTTTGTTTTTAACATTCTAAATGCGATAATCTGTTTCTAGCCAAGCGTATAACTCTAGTGCGCGCCGTTTTCCGTTAAATACTCATCCCAACGAATTAAAAGCTTGTCACGAGACTTTTTTACACGTTCAAGTGCACATAAGAAAGCAGGGATACATCCAGAAACAAAGCAGCCACTGGGCCCAGAAGATCGTGAGAGCACACCATGGCTTTTCCCAGATAGTAGGCTGCCAGGCGGCATGAACGCTAAAAGTACAGATAAGGAAGATGATGAAGATGAAGATGTAATGAAGGGGATTGAGATCAAACATAATCTTTAGCGGTGGTCATTTAATATCCACCTGTCTCTAATGGGGTCGAATATTCTGGTCAATGTTGTTGTTTTTTCGTCGTCGAACTTATCGGCATCTATTTTCGTGTTCCCAGTAGCTGTAGTGTGTTAGAATAGTTCAAATGATATTTTCGAGTCCCACGGTACCATTGAAGTGCATGCAGTGGATAGCAGGCAAAGGATCGGGAGGTACAAGGCCGCTGCTCGACTTTACGTGTGAATTCTCCTTGTCGTTGCGGATAGCTAATCGTCATTAGCACATGTAAATAATTCGATCATTTCTCTTACCCGCTGCCTTCTTGTCTTTCATATCCTTTCTTAGAGAATAGTTTTATAAATCCATAAAACATCGTATCAACAACTCAAGTTCAGCACCTTTTCACAACTTCGAGTTTTTCAGAATAGGTGTAATTTTAGTCGAATATATACAAAGAAACCCCAAGA